GGCCCCCATGGGTCCTTTTTACCTCAGGTTTTCTGGAGGGTAAACATGTTTCAAGCTCCCAGCCTCTACCTAGCTACAGCTCTCTTAACAAGGCCCACAGGAACTGTCCCCAGTTCTCCTCAGAACACGATCTTTGTTCCTTAGTAACACCACAGGAAGTGGGGTTCACAGGCTGGGTTCAGGACATCTGCATTTTTTCCAATCTCTATTGAGAAGTCTGAGAGTAAATGATTCATACGGTAGGGTGGGCGGGGAACCCAAGAAGGGCATCACTTTCATGTATTATATTTAATAAATCCAGGGAGATACATTAACAAAAATATTTTATTCATTATTATTGTATGTGTTTGTACATGTATGTGTATGCATGTATGTATGTGTATATATAGTGTGTGTACTGTATGTGCCTTGGTATACGTGTAGAGGCCAGAGGACAACTTTTTGGAGTTGATTCTTTCCTCTCATGTGGGTTCCAGAGATGGAATTCAGGTTGTCAAGCTTGCAGGGCAAGAGCCTTTACCCACCGAGCTGTCAATAGCTCCCACTTTCCTTTTAATTAAAAAGGTTTTATGGAGCTGAAGTGGTGGATAGCTTAGTGGTTAGAGCACTTGCTTCTCTCGAAGAAGACGTGAGTTCATTTCCCAGCACCTACATGGTGTTCGCAAACATCTGCAGTGCCAGTTCCAGGGCATTCAGCCCCCTCTTCTGGCCTCCTCAGATTCCAGGCATGCATATGGCATTCATACATAATACTCAGGATATAAAAGTACATTTTTTTTTTCTGAAATAAGATCTCTCTACATAGTCCTGGCTGTCCTGAAACTTACTATGTAGACCAGGTTAGCTTCAAACTCACAGGCATCCGCCTGCCTCTGTCTCCTGAGCACTGGGACTAAAGGTGTGCGCCACCAAATCTGGCTTGACTACTAGAAACTTGAGTCTGGAAACCAGCAGAGCAGGTGCTCACTCTTGCCTCCAGCCTATCTTCATTCTTTCCAGTCACATGTCCACATCAGCTCTCTGTCCACCAGCAAACTGGACCACACGGGCAGAACTGTAAATGTCCTATTTACCCAGTCAGTATGTCAAGTCCTGGGCCAAGCATTGGGGAAACAGTATCAGCCATGGGCTTAACTTGAAGACTTACACTTCAGGGGTTCAAATGACCCTATAATAAAATGTAGGCTGCACAGCAGGAATCTGGCCTGACCTGAGTTCAGGGAGGCTTTCTAAGGAACTGAAATCCTTGAGATTAAATTATCTGGGTCAGTCTGCTTGGAGAGCCATCTTTTGTTATCATACTAGCCCACGAGAAAAGAATCAGTAAACTTAACATGTGTGGATAATATATATATTATTAATATGTATAATATATAATATAAATATTATTATATATTGTATATATTATATAATATATATAATATATAGACATGCATATTTAATTTTAATTAATTTTATAAACTTTATTTAACAAAAAAACTTTAAATAAAACAAACACATCAAAATTAACCAGAGCCAAAGCCTATATCTATAGCTCAGGGAATTTCTATACAATTAATACCGCCATTCTGAACTTCACACTGCATTTTACAGTTTCACTATGGAATATATTTTTATGAACTTATCCATCACCAAATGTGAAAAATCCTCAGCAGAATTAGAACTAGAAGAACAATTATCTTTTTATCCTCTTTTATAGCTCAGACTGGGGAGCTGGCTCACTGGGTGTTTGCTGGACATGCTTGAGGACTTGAGTCTGGAAACCCAGCACCCGTGTAACAACCTGGTGCAGTGGCGTGTACAAATATCTCAGTGCTTAGGGCTGTGGGACAGAGACAGATGGGTTTACTGGCTGGCCAGCCTAGCTGAAATGGTCAATTCTAGGTTCAGTGTCTAAAAAAAAAAAAAAAAAAATTGGCTAGGGCTGGAGAGCTGACGCAGTGGTTAAGAATGCCTACTGTTCTTGCAGAAGACCCAAGTTCAAGTCCCAGCACCCACATTGGGTGGCTCATTGCTGCCTGTAAGTGCAGCTCCTTGGGTACCTGCCTGCACTCACATGTACCCCCTCCCCCAAAATTAGAAATAAAATTACCCAATATCAACCTCTAGCCTTTATATGAATCATGAAGTGGTACATACAATCCCACACACAGTATATACAAATGCACACCACAAACATAAGATCAAAAAATACTCTAACAAGAAGGAAAAGCAATTCTGCTTTTCCAAGACCTAAGTTATGAAGCTACCATGTCTTAAATTCCTGGGCCTCGGCTCCATTTCTGTCTTTTGTTGGGGCACTGGGGACTGAACTCAAAGCCACATACACACTGGCTCTTCCCTTGAGTTATACCTCTATGTCCCAGTGGGCCTCAGATTCAGAGGAAACCTTTGAGGAGTTAGTTCATTCCCTCCACCATGTGGAGGCCTTCAGTGTATAAGCAAGGCTGCTCCTGACAGTGCAAACACCTTTACCCACCAATCCATCTCACTGGCCCTTTTTCTTTTTTTTTTTTTTTAAGATTTATTTATTTATTTTATTTATGAGTACACTGTCGCTGTCTTCGGACACACCAGAATAGGGCATCCAATCTCATTACGGATGGTTGTGAGCCACCATGTGGTTGCTGGGATTTGAACTCAGGACCTCTGGAAGAGCAGTCAGTGCTCTTAACTGCTGAGCCATCTCTCCAGCCCCTCACTGGCCCTTTTTCTTTTCTCCTCCAAACACAAATTTTCATATATCCCAAGCTGTCCTTGAACTCATAACACAGCCAAAAAATTATTCCTATCCTACTGCCTAAATGCTAGGACTCCAGGTATTTACTGTGGAGGTTTTGTCTTTTACTGTCTATTTTAATGCTAAGTGCAGGCCCCCAAGACTTAGAGTCTGCATGTAGTCCCTGTGACTACATGTCCCAAGTTATTTCTGATTGGTGAATAAAGATGCCAACAGCCAATAGCTGGGCAGAAGAAACATAGGTGGGGTTTAGGTTTCCTAGGCTTGGCGGGGAGGGAGGAAGAGAAGGAAGAAGAGGAGGAAAAAGAGTTTCTTTAATTGACAATAACATTACTATGTGTCTGTGACCTCATCCACTGCGTGCATCAGAACCACCCAGGAAGTTTGCCCAGAGTGTGTGGGGCCCACCCCAGAGAGGCAGAAAATCTGAGGTGCTTGAGAAATTTATCCCAGGTGACACTGCTTCTTTGGTGCTACTGTGCAGGGACCCTTGCAGTGCAGGGTGGGGAGTGGGGTGTGGCAGGTGGGGTACGATGTATGACAGCGGACAAGTTCTGTAGGAACACACAGCGGGTGCTGGACTAGACACTGCCCAGGGCACCAGCAAGCCTCACTGTTCTTTTACTTTATGTGTGCAAAGGCTAGAAGATATGGTTCTACTAACTGACATGGGAAGAAGGGAGGATGACGAAAACCTCTGTGTCACATATGTCCTTATACCTGCAAGTCTGTGTCAGTGCTGTGTGCCTTCACTGCTGTCTCCACCAAACTCTTTCTCTTTCCTAGGCTTACAGTATAACATCACAACCCATGAAACATGCTTAGGTAGACGGCAGCTGCAGGGAACTGTGAAAACGTCTCTCGTGCTCCAGTTTAAAGGAGCTTAGCTAAAATCAGACGATTCCACCAGCTACTAGTGACTGTCTTGTCTTCTTTAGTTCTGAAAAGACTGCAGGTACAAAGCTTAGAACCTTAATGAAAAACAACAGTAACACAAAGAGAAAGAGCAAGGCAGACAGATCCAATAACAGAAGGAAAGAAGAGGGG